AAGGCAAGAATGCCCACTGTTTCCTCCATGATTTAATATTGCAATAGTGTTACCACCTAATGTAATTGGATAAGAGAAATGATGAGCTATATCAGTTCATAAAAAGTACAAATATCTCTAGAACATACTAGTGATTCAATAAACAGTAAAACTAAATAGTGAAGCCAATAAGATATCAAGGGGTGTAAGTCATATACAAAAATCAATATTTTTCAAAGACACAAGCAATAGACAGCTAGAGGGCATAACAGTAAATAAATCCCCTTTTATAATAACAACAATGACATTTAAATTCTTAGGAATAAACTTGACAAAAAATGTGTAAAACCTATAAGAGAAAACATTCCTGCAAGACATAGAATTCAATTTAAACAAAAGGAAAGGTATCCCTCTTCCTGGACAGGACAACTCCACATCATAAGAAATCTCAATTTAACAGCATCACATTAAAAATATCAACAACTCTTTTTTTAAATGAAGTTAGACAAGTTGATGCTAAAGTTCATAAGAAAAAAACAAGCATGCAGAAATAGGAACATACTAAGAAATAAAAACTACAAAGACAAACTAGTCTTAGCAGATATTAAAGCACACTATAAGTCCCCATAATTATAGTAGGGTACTACCACCATGAGAATAAAATTACAGGCCAGTAGAATAGAAAAGAAAGTTCTGAAACAGATGAAAATAAATATAGAAATAATAAAGCTGGCATTTAAAATCATGGAAGCAAAGATGGGCTTTTTGATAAGTGTTGCTGGCACAGCTGGGTAGCCATTTGGAAGAAAATAAAACTAGACTCCTATTTCATATCATATACAAGTATAAACTACACAGTGATCTGAAAACTAAAGAAAAAAATTATATAGATAATAATTTAATAGCTTTAACTAGAACAATATGATAAATTCCTCTATAGATTTAGTGTAGGAAAATGTTTTTTAATGCTGACTCAAAACTCAGGGCAATAAAAGAAACAATTCATAAATTTGAGTGCATAACTTTTTAATTGCATTGTAGAATAAAGCCAAAGAAAAACTGCCAAGTTAGAAGAAAAGATTTGCAACATATGTCACAGATAAAGATGTAATATCCATAATATATTAAGAACCCTTACAATTTGAGGGGAAAACAACCAAAACTCTGATATATAAATGGGAAAGATATATGAACAGACAGCTCACAAAATTGATACAAAATGGTCTTACATGAAAATATGTCGAACCTCAGAGTGATTTCCAGGATATATTGTTAAGTGAAGAGAGAAAGATACAAAAGAATACTACCTTTCATATAAGAAAAAAAGCAAATAAGAAAATATACAGGTATCTTCTCCTTTTGCAAAGCGAAAAACAAGAAGCATAAACCAGAAATGAGTGAAAACAGAGTGGAAAGGAGGGAGACTTGGGGAGGACGGGGTGCGAAGAGCAGCCGTTTTCTGAGTGCACCCTTTTTTATAGTTCCCTCTTGATATAGTAACAATTAAAATCAACAAATGTTAGACTCTATTAATTTTTTAAAGACACAAAATTATTCCTTGGCATGATGTCTGTTATTTCTTGGTTTTCAGGTTCCTTAATTAACAGTTTATTTTTTAATTCAACAACTTTTCTGAGAATCTGCCATGTGCAGAGTTCTACGCTAAGTTTAATGAAGACTTTAAAGGGGATTAAGATACTGTAATTAACCTGAAGAACACTGTGCTCTAAACAATGTTGTGTATGAAAAAAGACCAAAATATGTTGCATGTCCAGAAAGCTAGAAGAAATACAAAAAAAGAAAAGAAAAAAAGAAAAGAAAAGAGAAAAGAAAAAAACACTAATTTGCAAAGTAAAATCAGAAATTTTATGCTATGAATATGCTGTATGAATATTAATTGAACTTCAATTTCTTTATTATTTTATGCTATACTTCCTTCTACAATAACAGAGACAAGTTAAAATTAAAGAGAAGACACGTTAGAATCATTAAAACTTTTAAGGAACATACGTCATGTAAAGAATTCAAGAAAGAAGTGTGTGGGGAAAAATATAAGCAAATAAAAAGGTACAATTTAAGTGGGGAAAAAAACCCTTATTTGTGAACTACCAGAAAAAAAGGCAAAAAGGCAAAAAAAAAAAAAAAAAAAGCACTGGTAAGTTACAGATGCTCTATTATCTAATTTTAAAAAGCAGGTCATTTCATCAATCAGATGGGTTGCCAGACATCAAACATCCTTAAGAACCTGTTTTGTTGTTGTTTGTTTGTTTATTTATTTATTGTTCAAATACCTTTGTCTCCATTTTCTCACCCCCACTTTCCCCTGCCCCCTCTCCGCCCCTCCCTCCCTCAATCCTTTCCGACTTTGGCTTTGTCCATGGGTCCTTTATACATATTCCTTGAATTTTCCATAACCACTTGTTATACAAGAAATGGTAAATGTCTATATAGTGCAAACCTTTGATAGCAGGATTCTCTGTTACTTACAGCCAAGAGTACTTGCAACTGATACACAATCTGTGAACCAGACCAGATGTGATTGCTTCAAACACCTTAATAATATAATTGCATTAACCTAAATAACTCCATTAGTTAGACTTCCAAAGGGGAAAAAATATCAACCAGAAAATAATATACAATCAAAACAAAACAAAAATAAATAAATAAAATGAGGTAAATAAACAAACTCCTTTCTTTGCTTGTACAAACTGGATACCTTGGCACTTCCCTCATATGCAGTGGATTTCACAGCTGACAAAGAAAAGAGAAAGCAATTGGGCAGCTGGATCCAAAAGATCTGACCAGCTCTAGGGTTCTGGGTAACAACAAACAGGTGAGTTTGGAGGCAAATCAAGTCCAGTCACCTGTTTAAAAATTGGCTAAAACATAGGTCACATATCCAGTATCAGCACTAAAGAAAGAAAAAGAGATGTCCGAAGTTGCAACTCTCTGGATCAGAGTTTAATGTAATGAAATGTATTGAAATCCAAATTATGTTTATTATCTTCAATAACACCTTGTTTTACTCTGTGATTCTAGAGAGTTTCATTCTAGGAAATGAGATAAAATTTTTTTTAATCCTCATGGGAGCATATGCTTATTGATTTTTTTTTTTTTTTGAGAGAGAGAGAGGAAGGGAGAGAGGGAGAGAAAGAGAGAGACATTGATGTGTGAGAGAAACATTGATTGGTTGCCTCCCATATGCACCCTGACTGGGGATCAAACCTGCGACCTAGGTATGTGCCCTGACTGGAAATCAAACCCAAAACCTTCTGGAGTGTGGGTTGACGCATCAATTGAGCTACCCAAGACATTAATTTTTTGAGCCAGAAAGAGACATTAATTTTTTTATGTTGTTAAAATTCTAGCTTTTACTTTATCATTTAAACTTTAATCCAAATATGCTAGATGATAACAAAATAGCCAGTGATTGTTCTAATTTTATAGAAAATGGTAAAAATGAGCCTAAGCAGAAAATTGCGGGGTCTAATTGCTTATTATATACTTTCTTAGATTTTAAAATACATATTAATAGAATAAGAGAAAATTCAAACCTAGTAAAAATAATAAATTTAAAGAGAAATATGAATGAAAAATAATAGTACTAGAAGACATAGCAATACTATCTTTATTGTGTTAATACAAAGATTTTTATTTTAAATACATTAGAAATTAGGAAAACCTATACAAAATCTGTGGCAACATATCCATGTCTGAATTACCAGTTCATGTGGTTATTTCTGAGATGGCTAGAGATGACACATCTATTAGAGGGCCTCACACAGGATGATCAAGGGGAAAAAGGCCACTATTCCTGCCTGTGCAAGTCTCAGAATAAGCTGACATCACCCATGTTTAAAATTTATAGCAAAGGTTATAGGGTAGCTAGGCAACCAGTTTATATTTCATGAAAGGACAGACATCAACCATAGAAAATGCCTCTTGGGTTCTTTTCATCACATTGAACCCTAATGTGACTTACAGAATGCCTCTTGGCCTTCTAGTCTAGTAGGCAAAGCTGCCACTCATATGGTCTGTTTTCTAAAGATCTGTGAAGACTTAAGTTCTTACTTATTTCACATCCAGTTTTCTGTCCTTCTAAGATAGCTGGAAGCAAATATGATTCTCAGAAGTTTAAGTTCCTAACCTCTAGGTCACATCTTTTCTTTCCATTATTCAATTTCAGACAATCATCAACAATTTTTCTCTCTCCTTGGTGTTCACATCATCTTTGACCTTGTGAATAATGCTATACTATAAAACAGAGCCTCTACCAACCCAGGAAATTTTATGTACACATAATTCAGTTTAAAATGAAAGAGTCAGCCAAAGCACCTCTAAAACAGGCAATCCATGGCTAATAATACTTGTCGACATGTACTTTATATTCATTTCTGAGTTATCTAATTTTGACAACTGATTAGAAATAGTAAACTATACAGTCTGATGTTTTGTAAAGACATGCTAGAGCCAATCTGGCAAAAACACACATGCATGATGCTGAAGGGGTCGAAGACAGGTACAAAAAGACTAATTTCCCAACACCATCCGCCAGCAAGTCTACAGCACAAACTAAACACCATTTGTTATTGATGTAGGCAGTATTGTCATAAACTGTGAAAACTGGACAGGATCCTAGAAATCAGCCATCTCTCCTTCCCATTATAAAACTTCCTCCTACAGCTCTCCCACGGGGATGACTTTAATCACTGCATGAGCACAAGGTCTGCCTCACTGCCCCATGAGGAAGTCCGTTCCATCGCATAAAACACTTTTGAGAAAGCTTGTTCTTACAAAGTCAAAAACTGTGTCTCTGTAACTTCAATTTATTAATTCTAACTCACTTACTCAACCAGCACTTACGGAGTAACTATTTTATGTAGCAGACTATTTTCATGAAGACAAAACACATCCCTTATCCATCTAGACAGACACACCCATGAACATGAATAAAAATAAAGCTTCAATTGCCTTTGCTACTGTCTCAATATTCCCCCCGCCTACATCTCAATACTGCTTACCTGAATCACACCTCCCAAGAAAGAAACAGCTGCAGCAACACCAATCCTTTGCATCTCAAAGTCAGATAAGCCCAGCATGCTTGTGTTCGTCTGTGTCGTGAGGTTCTGGCTACTCAGCGGGACAAGACGTTCCACTGCGTTGGCTGATATTAAGGATGTCAAGGCAAAAGTGCCTACAAAAGGGGATGGAGTGGGGAATTTCCTGTTATTAACAGACTCAATAAAAATTGTTGAAGTCCACCACTAGAGTTGAATCCATATCATAGACCCACCCAGATCTATTAGAAACACTCTCCTCTGCACCCTGACTCCTCCACCCTTTGTTCCACTCCATGGAATAAACAGAAAATTACCTACATATATACATATTCCTTCAACATAAAACCACACCCATCCATTTGCTATTCCATCCCAGGCCGTTCATGCCCCCACCTCTCTGCCAAGCTGCATAGAGAATGTCCTCCAGGTAGGGATTAAGATCGTGGACTGGGTATAAATCCAGCTCTTCCATTGAACCCTAATGTGACTTAAAGCATATCACCCTCAGGCAAAATTGCCTCAGCTATAAAATGGGAGTCACGTATTTACATTTCAGAGTTTTGGGAAATATAAATAAGATGATAAATATAATATCTTCAGCAGGCTCAGTGGCTAAATATGATGAGTTCTTTGCATGAATCTGAAGCTCTTTGCCTGATGTGCTTGCTCTTCCATTCCCTATACATACCCTTTTGTCTTTCCAGGTCTGGTTTTAATCCCATATTCATAAGGATCCATCCCAGATTCAACAAGCCAGGTTTAATCTTTCTACTCTCTGTGCTTTCATTGCAGATTAAACTTTTATTAGAGTAGACCTTTATTATAGTATAACAACATGCTATAGCCGATAAAGTGATTAATTATACCATTTCTGTCTACTGTGATTAGATAAAATGCAATGTTATCTCCCAAGAATTGTCCTGGCCTCACACAAATGTGGGAACATTTCCAGTGTGTTCTCTTCCTGACAAAAGTTCTGATGCCTCTCTTAATGATGAAGTGGAAGTAGAAATTCCCACATACATATATATACCATAATAAAATACAATAAATTGATTTTTAAAAAGAAATATGTTATCTATATTAAATGTCTGCAGAAAAATTTTAATAAGATTCACTTGGTTCCTGTGTTTAATATTATAGCAAAGTCAAAAATAATGATATTATTAAGATTAATATTTATTAAATACAGTCTTATATAAACAAATAAATACACCACCATGAGGCAAAAGAATAATAGTTTCTTTACTGAACTATAGAAATTACATGTATTTTGAAATTTACATAATTTACCTAAAAGACTTTGTTAAATACAGTCTTATATAAATGGCCATTTCAAAACCATGCCACCAATAAAAGGTCTATAGCAATTCCTGAAGAAATAAAGTGATTTTTGTAAATGTACATTTAGGTATGTATCAAGTTGATTGTTTTTGACTTTATGAAAAATCTTTTTGCCTTTTTCTTTTATTTTTTGTTTAACAGAGGAAATGCTTTGGGGTCAGCTCTAAAACAATCTGCTTTCTCTTGCTAATGACATATTTAAAATATTTTGAAAAATAAAAATAATTTTTAGGAAATTAGAGAGCAAAATAATTTGGAAATAATAGGCTTCAAAAACTTCTAATTCACTATTGTGCTTTTCTACTTTTGCAGTAACACAAAAGGAAAGTCCATTTGAGAGCAAATGGTTTTAAAAAATAAAAGATTGGCCACAACTGGGTTGTAACCCATGCACTTGTGAGTTTAGTCTGTGTTCTCACAGAAAACTTTCTGATTTTCAGGGTTTTCCTTTTTAAACTCAATACACAGATAATGTCTATTTTAAAATGTTGAGGCTCCAGTCAAGATGGCAGTGTTGCTAAAGTTGGTACTTGAATCCTCCCAGGACCACATCAAAATTATAACTACAGAACAACTTTCATTCAGAACTCCCTGAAATCTAGCTGAAAAGAAGTCTGACAACTCCAAAACCCATGTTTTTAACCATCCCACTCTATTAACAGACAATTGTACTTGCGACCGTTCACATTATATTTGGTAATGCAGAGCTCAACATGATAAAAGATATATTAATTAAAGAACATTATAGATTATAGCTTAGAAGATATCTAAAAGATCAATTACATGGAAAATATTTTTCAATATTTAAGTCACTAAATTTTATATATTCTTTTCTTTACCCCTCAAAGTGCTTATTTTCTCCATTTCACTGTAAATTCAGAACATTTGTCCTTCTTTTATGGCTTTTGACAACTAAAAATTCAGAGTCTTTAACAATAACCTGGTTACCTAGTGATATAGCAATGAATCACAATATGTATTGAGTAACTGAGGCACAGAAAGTTAAATGTCTTGGCCCTAATATTTGCTGAGTTTTCAGTAGTAAAGTTAGAAATGTAACCAATAACTAATGATTACTTCTGAGGTCTCTTTCATTAGTAACATGAGAAGCAGAAACAGAAATTTTTACCTGTGGCAACATGACGTCCCATTCCAAATATGGCGTAAATGATGACAGGAAACAAAGACCCATATAAACCGAACACTGGGTGCACAGATGAGAGAATAGCAAAGGCCAGCCCTGCAACGAAGACCGGCATAATTAAGACCATCTTATAACCTCAAAATATAGTCCATTACAAAGTAGAATGAAGGTAGTTTTATTTCATGACAAAATAAACCATAATGTAATTATTCTGCTCAATGAGAAATAGCATCATGGTCCTAAATAACAGATAATTGACTCATTGGTTTATATTTCAATTATTAAAAATAATTATTTTTGGAATACTGCTTTTTTCCTTGATTACAAAGGCATAATTACGAAAACAATACAAAGCAAACAAACAAACAAAAATACAGGGATGGGTCCTAGCTAGCAGAAACAGATGTATGCTGCTATCTACGCCACACACTTTATCTTCACGCTCATTGCCTATCTATTCTTTTGCAAATCTTACCAAGTTCCTGATGCTCTAAAAAGGAAAGTCATGATTCTTCTGTGTGAATAGGTATACATGTTGAAGGAAATATTATTCAAAGTGCAGAAATATATATTATATAAATGGCCATTTAATGTACAAATCACCAAAAGAAATCAGAAGTGTTGAATGAAGCCTGGAACTATAGTGGAGAATGGGTCATGGGGTGAGGGGAAATAGAGACAAAGGGAAAAGCCAGCAGAGTGTTACTAGCTCCTGGGTATATTTTTATGGGAACTGGGAAAGTATACCTTAGACTTATTTAGTAATATTGAGCTGCTATTGTCCTGGAGAAAAGTACTGGCAGGAAGACAATGATTCAGGGAGTCAAATTAGAGCTAGGTAGCTAAGGCTAGGGTTTCATATTCTCAAACCTGAGACAATGCAGCAGAATATTACCAGACCAGCCTTTAATTTTCGCAATGCAGTACACTGCAGGAGCTTCCACCTATTGTTCCACGTGTCACTAAGCTGCTCTCACGAGTGCCATGAAGTTCAGCTTCCACATGTTCATTTTTGTGCCAATAAGGACACACATTCTGCATAATTATAAGGAACATTCATCTTTCCTCTGCAGCCCAGAATGCTGTGGCAGCATAAAATTTTCATGGTTTAGGAACAAAATTCTAGGTGATCCCTGGGAATTATAAACCAAAACATTCTCATATTGCTCCTCAGTGGATTAAGTTCTTACATGGCAAGTCATGCATTTTAAGTCTCCACCCTGTCTCAGTGCTTGAGTTTTCAAGTTAGAAACAAAGAAACTATTTCTCCCAAAGTCGTCATCCAAGCTCGAATGTAAACTAAATACTCTACAGACCAGAGTCTTAAACTACTTAGCTTGCCAACCATATTGATGACATGTCTTAAGTCAATGGCATTCTCTAGAATGTTTATCTTCAAAATACATTCGGTAGGGAGATCTTAGAAGACGTCAGTTAAAGAACATTGTGGTAGATGCTAACTATAATGGTCATTACCTCATGTTAGAAATGAGAGATCCCACATTTTTAAGGTATTTTTAAAAAATACAAATGTTTTCTATAAAACTTTTGAGTATGGTGAAAAAAATAATCTAAATTTCTCTTTTTTCTTTGAAATGAGCACATCTATGTTTATATTTATTTACTTTGGGGAGGGACAATCACCCTTTAATCAGTCCGACACAGTTTATGAACTCCTCCCCAGAACCCTTTTTAAAATTAAGGACCAGAAAATACACAGGATTATTTAAAAAAAAAAAAAAGTATTGGAATGTATCAGTGTAGGTTCACAGGACTGAAACTTGTCGATCTAAGTGGAGAAACTAATCTTATGCAATCTCTCTATAAAGGTTTCATTCACAAGTGACATCAAAGCATTTCAACCAAACATGTTAGAAAGTATGTTGGGCCCTGGCTGGTGTGGCTCAGAGGACTGAGCGCCGGCCTGCGTACCAAAGGGTTGCTGGTTGGATTCCCAATGTAGGTAGGGCATATGCCTGGGTTGCTGGCAGGGTCCCAAGCAATGAGCACTCGAGGTGCAACCACACATTGATGTTTCTCTCTCTCTCTTTATCCCTCTCTTCCTCTCTCTAAAAATAAATAAAAAAAAATATTAAAAAAGAAAGTATGATGGCAGAGACAGACGGCTGGGCAGATATGGGAAATACTAGCAGGAAGGGTGGTTGGTAGGGACTGGTGGAAACTGTGGTAAAATGCAAAGTGCGTACCCTGTGTAAAGGAAGTAGCCTCTAGTAAGGTACAGCAAATTTTTGTCACTTGGGAGTAGGGGCCCCATATGTCTATATAGTGCCTTTTTCTAAGAGAAGCCCGGCATCTGGATTTTTATATGAACTATTTATGTTTGTTAAATTGGCTAAAGAAAAAAATTAACACTGTTTGGGACATATCTATTATCGGATTAATCTGAAAGGTTACAAGTGCATAACTTCAGAAAAGTAAGAGGAATTAGAAAAAAATAATTACTTTTATGTTAATGTATTTCTATTATCGATATCTTTATTACATTTATTTGGAAAATATAAGAATTAATTTAAATTTGAGTCTTTCCTAATTGGTAGCATGCTTGTAAAGAAAATCAGAGACTTCAAGAACCTAAAGGTTTTTAATCCTTCCACCAAACATTTATTAAAAATCTGATATTATGTGCCAGGCAATATGCAAGTTGGTGGCAATGTGCAAGTTGATAACAATACAAAGATTTAGACTATCTTTGTTTCCAGATCTTACAGACAAGTGGGGAAAGAGTTGTATCAAAAAAGTATAATACTGATGTTATAGCATACTATACTTTGTTAAGGTCCACCATAAAGATATGTAAAAAGTACAAAGAAAGAAAACATATATCTTCCCAGGAGATTGGGGGAGGCGGTTCTCAGAGCAGAGATCTCTCTGAGTAGACTTTTGTATCAAGAGTCCCAGATTATTAATGATTTAATAGGCTATTCGGAAGAATTGGACTTTTATACCAGAGGAAATAGGGTATCATTGAAGAATTATGATTCTTCAATTGTAATTCAATCACAGAGAGGTGACATGTTCAGAGTTTTATGATCATTTTGGCTGCAGTACAAAATATGGCCTTTAGGAGGAGACAAAGTAGAAAATGACCCACAAGATGATTTCAAAAGCAAACTACCACAGCTGCAGAAGGGGCACGAAATGAAACTACTTGGATGGAAAGATATCTAAGAATAAAAACAATAGAACCTGGTGGCTAATGGGTGGCTAACAGGCAGAGAGAGGGAAAGAGCTGAGAATGACTCTTGAAGCTCTCTATGAGGGGTAGTCAGAATACAAATTAGCACATAGTCCCTAGAGTTCAAATCCGAATTCTTCTAGTCATTTGTTGTGTGAATTTAAGCAAGTTATTTATTCTCTCTGAGCCCCAGTTTTGTATAAATGTCAAATGTTCCTACAACAGTGTTTACGGTTGTGTCTGAACACTACTCTTATTATTAATTATTATAATCCTGGTTTGGTTGGTGGTGACATTCAGTTTGTTCATTTTAGAAGACTAATGTTTCATTTAAAGTTCTTTTAGAAGATTCTAGGTTTGCATAGTTGAATGTGTGGTTGAGAAAAAGCTTCATTAGCTGAGTGATGGTGGTTAGAGGCTGTAATTCATGCAGATTAAAAATAGCCTGCAGCATTCTGGAGAAAGAAGGCTAAGGTTTGTGTCTCAGGATACTGACGTTTAATGAGCAGATGGAATAGGAGGCAAAATCTAAACAGATCCATAAAAAGAGAAAGCTGGGAGGTAGTAGAAGAAAAAACAAATGTGCATTGTCTGAAACCCATGAGAATAAATGGTTTTAGCAAGACAGAAAATGTTAGAGGAGTCAAATGATGGCCGACAAGCATCTATACTTACCAGTTGCGAAACTTTTAATCAGGTAATTTAAAATGGTTCCTTGGTATTTGATATGTATAAAACACTCAAACGTTAGTTTCCATTATCCTTCCTAATTTTAAATGTATTTTTTAGAGTAAGAAGAATGAAAAGAACTACTGGATTGAACCATATAATTTTCCATATTTATATGTCAAAAAACATTCAATTCAACAATTTCATATAATTCAACTATGCTGAGTTAACTGAATAGTTGCTTCAAAGATCAGTAGAGTAAAAACAGGTATTTGTTTCCAGTTTTGTGCTATGATGCAAGAGCAACAATTACCCCTTCTTTCTTCTAATTTTTGTAAAGAAATGGAGCTTGTAATGATTGCCAGTATTGTATTCATGCAAACATGAGGTAATACTATCTAAATGCCTTCCTTACTCTATCTACCTTATACTGTAGTTATTTTCCCTGTAACTTCACCTTTGAGTCCAAAACCTGCACTGGCGAAAGCTAAATGCAAAAGTAATTTGAAGAGAGGATATTTGATCCTTTCCAAAGAAATGTCTTCTATTACTAATAACATCAGTAGTATGAATACGTCTAGTTATTTTGGCTGTACAGAGTGTAAAGTATAAAATATTAAGAGTGTTGACTTTGGAATCAAGTCCTGACTCTATCACTTATTATGTATGAAGTCCAAGGAAAATTACTTACTCTCCAAAGCCTCCATTTTCTTACGTGGAAAATGGAGAAGAGGCTGCTGTCTTTTGGGATTTTGTCAGGGTAAGGGAATATAATGTATATAAGGAGTTTAGCACAATGCTCCTTACATTAATGTTATGATATTTCACGTTTTATATCTCCATAGTAGGTAAGCATGAGAAAGTTTGAGAGAATTATTTTTAAAAGAATAGGTACTTTTAGAAGAATGAGTCTTTTTATACACCACCAAAAATTTTAAAGTCTTTCCTCTAGTGATATAGTCTTGTCCAATCACTGGTAGACCTCCAGAAAAACAGTAGCAAGATCCATAACTTTGTAAGACACTAGGAATAGGTAAGCTTTGTGCTTCTCATCAGTTGGGAGCTGCCCAGTTTTTCTTCATAACTAACGAAATACGTAAATCATAAAACAAAATTCCTCAAAATCTATACACAAATAGAATGCCATACAATTAACTACTGACTTACATATAAATATCAGTAATGATATATCACAGATAATTTTATTATATCCCAAATTTCTTTATTAACCTGATATTTTACAAAGGTGAAAAAACAAATTGTTTTTAAATATATATATTAGTCTTTCATTTCACATAAAGTTAAAGCAAAATAAATTTTAGAAATATACTCAAACTCTCTGGTGAAAAAGCCCTTGTAAATTCATCACCTAGTCTTGTTAGAATAAAGTTAAATAAAAACAAGGCTAAAAATGCCCTAACCTGTTATTTAATCTGATTATTTTATGAAAGATTACTGTTTTGCTGTTAACATTATAGTCATTAAAAATGTAATACAAGACTATTCAGAAAAATTTAAACCCACAAAATATGATAGTATTATGGATCTTAAAGTCACTAGTGCAGATGTTTCTAATCACATTAAAAACACAAATACGCAAATAAGTTTTTTTCAGCTACAGAATAATTCAATTAAAAGAGTACATCTAATTTAATGGTATGAGACAGGGAGGTAGTGAAACCGCAAGGAAATATAAATCTACAAAGTGCGTGCTAAGTAAAGTGTTCCAAATTCTCAAGGCTGAGAAGTCAGTTCCTTTCCTTGCTTCAGTTAGGAAACTATTAACTAAATCGGTTAAAAAATACAATGAGTGTACCTTTAAGGAAAACACATGCACACTTTCTTGTGTGCACACTAGTTAACTAAAAGCTTTCACCAAAATAAACACCTATCTAAATCCAGCATATAATTTAGAATCTGCCTCGGGAAAATTAAGATGAGACTTCTCATCAGTTTAAATTTCTTTTTGAGAAATAAATACAGTGCATAATGTGACTCAACATTTAATCAGCATACACAATAAACATAAGCTCTAAGGACACAGAGGATTCTCTATATATTTATACATATATTCAGTATAAAAATATTCAATATGTTTATTCCCCCCAAATTAATTCAATATTCATTTCATTAGCTAAATTGTAGATCTGAGGTCATAATACTCTTCCATTAAAGCAAAGTGACATCTGTTCTGCATAAAACAGGAAAAACAAACGAAGTACATTACCTTGCGTCACCTGTTGAATTGCCAACATTATCCCAGACACAGTGTCTGGGAGCAAGTTTTCTTTCAGATTGTAATGTAGTGCCCATTCCAAAATAGGTAGCCTCCTTCTAGACCACTGTTTAAAGTCTTCACAATGGGGGATCTTCATCCTGTTCCAGAGCTCACTCTTCTTTTTCCTCTTTGTCCCTGTCATTTTTCAGATTCCTTCTTGCAGAAGTAAACTTTAAGGAGGGAAAAAAAACCGTTGCAGAACACCTCCGTTCAATGTGAAGCTCCAATTCGTCTGTGGTTTATAACGCCAAAGCTATTCAAAAAACAAATCAATAAAAGAGAGAGAGAGAGAGAGAGAGATTAACAGATGAATTTAAATATATGCAGCTGGGCTGTATGTATACTGTGGTGCAGCTAATCATTCTCGATAAAAATATAGATTAAAACCTTGAATTCTGATCTGAATGATATGGAGAAATGGTTCCTGTTATTTTAATATTTTCCCAATTTTGGAAAAGTAACAGGTTCAGTGTTAAGTTGGTCTAGAGCTCTCTCACCAAGTAAATTCCCTTATATTCACTGTAGTCTTAAATTTTTGGCTCCGATCCCAATGGCTAACAGCTCTTGGCGTGTGTTGGGAGTGGGCTGGGTTATGCTAATGAACACAGGAAGCAGGAAGCGTTCCTCTAATTTAGACTCTTCCTATAAGCTATGCAAAAACATAAAACTGCCAGAAGGGTGGGCCCTGCAAAATAAAATCAGAGAATCTGGACTTTACCTCTTTGGGAAGTATACATTTTCAGCTCTACAAAATTCAGCAACATAAGAGGGCTTTGCCAAACGTCCTACCTTTTTTAGTCCCTGGGAGACGAGATTTTCATTCACAAACGGCAATATTATTTGCATTATGTACTCCCTTTCAAAAGTTTACATAGATATTTATATATGTATATATACTGAGTATAATTACTTTCATAATCAAAATTCACAGTAAATTTTTTTCAAAACATATCTCAGTCATAAAATCAAATGGATGCTGACAAAATAAGAATAATTGAAAACTATACTGAAATCACAATTGTAGTCTCGCTGAGAAAAAAAAAAGTCTTCGCACCTTGCCTAGACCCTCTGTTTCACTAGATAATTATATTCACCATCTGCTACATATTGACTCTTCAGCATATCTCTAATTTCCTTAGTTCCCTGGTCTCTTGTATTAAACATTTACTCAGTACTTGCCTCTTCCATAAAACGTTCTCTGGTTTCCCCTCTGCTCCGTCATTGCTGTACACCCAACACCCAGGTAACCCTTATACTATTCTTGGGTGTATAGCTATAATCATTCTCATTGTCTATTGGTTTTCTTCCTTGAAATCTATTTCATGTGATTTGATCCAGTCAGGCTGATGAGATTGTAAATTCCTTGTGGGTAGGGATTATTCACATAACTTGTTTTGCCACTTTCCTAGGATCTAATAAAAGTTTTGCAGGCATAGAATCCACTCATTATTAACACATGAATTGAATGTCCCTACTCCAGAAATTACCCAAGAATTATAATGAAATATCAGACTAGTTTCAGGCTATGCTGTTAGCCTGAAAATCAGTAGGGAGAAAAAATATTAGAGATAGTAATGGGGAAAATAAGGAGAGATTTTTATCTTTACTTGCTGGCCTTCTCTCCATTCTCTTACAATCTAGGCAAAGGTCTGTCTCTTTCTAACACAACTCCTTTTTCTTATATTATAGAATTTGTATAAGGGAAAGAGGAAAAACTAGATGATGAATGCAAGAGAAAGGCAGAAGACAAAACAGAGACAGAAAACCTCATGGTTTGGTGTTTTAGAGAGTTTCAGAGGATTAGCACGTAGGAGCCTTTGGAACAATTATGAAGTATGAAGTAATTGAGCCAGGCTCGAATGAGGAAAGAGTCTCCCAAGAAATATTATTCAGGTCATAAATTGGATCACCTGTAATAGTTTTTGAGAGATCCTAGTTAATACTGAAATTCTCCTAATTTTTTAGTAAATGTATTGTGGTAACATTGGTTAATAAGATTATTTAAGTTTCAAGGGTACATTTCTATGATATACGATCTGGATATTGCATGAGGTGCCCGTCGCTCAAAGTCAAATCATCTTCCATCACCATAAATTTGACCCCCTTTACCTGTTATACCTTCTCATACTACTTTTGATTGAGGCATTATGCTTCTTTGAACATGATCTCTGTGGGAAGTGGGACACCTAAAATACTGATTTATAACCAGGTTACATTTGGAAATATAGGCTCATAAATCTTGGAGGAGATCAACTCCAAATCCATGCTCACTCAGTCCATGGTCAATCTTCCTGGCTTTGCATACTCTGTGTCAGGGATCACTAGGGCAAATGTAGAACACTTGCACTTGGATAAAAATTCAGAAGCCATTTATTTGTCCTAATATTTTCTATTCATTTTTCTGCTTATTAAATAATCAAATTACTATTATAAAACAGAAAATTTTAGAAAGTATAAAGAAGTGTTAGAAAAAGAATAATATGTTCTATAACCACATTATTGATTAAAATTTGGATACAGTATATTCTAGTTTTTCTTGTCTATGACATGTTTTTCTTTATATAGCTGAGACACATAACTTTCAATTTTACTGGGCATTATATCATAAGCCTTTGCCATATCATGAAAAACCTTAGAGGACACCATTTTTTTAAATGACTTCATACCACTCCTACATAGTATTCCTTCATATTCTTATTTTTTTAAATGACTACATAATATTCCTTCATAAAGATGTGCCATAGTTTACATACCCATTTTCAGAGGAGTAAATACTTTGGTTCTTCCAGGTTTTTGTTTTGTTTTGTTTTACAGATAACACTGGGATTAACATCTGTGGGCATAAATCTTAAACCAGTTTTCTGACCATTTCCTTACAAGTAGAATTGATAGGGTATAACTAACCATCCAAGACTCATTACTAATGGTGTCATTTTCATTAGTGTATATTTTTCCCATGCTCCACTGAGGCATTTTTGGGTTAACATCTTAGACCAGCTCAGATGTAAAATACATTCATCCTTTAAATAGTCTCATTAGGGCATTCTTCAACCTGTCACATGTTGACTTTCACAACACTCGATGAGGTCTATTTTCTGGATTAATTAGAGCACTCATGCTTAGGATTTTCTGGGACCTTGAAGCCATGGAACATAATTTTCTTTGGAGCTAGTTTTTACTTGCTGGTTTATATTTCATATCTGACAACATAATTCAAATAAGGACTACCACTAATGTCTTGTTACCAGAAAACACGTAACAATATTAAAAAATTCTCAGTGCTCAAGCTGATTTCTTTTAGAAAGTCAAATTGAATGGCTAAGTATAATTCAGTGGACTTGAATAGAAAAATAAACAGTGAATAATTACAGATTTACAATTTATTGTAGACAAATAATTTTAGTTTATAGAAAATTCAAAATTTTCAGAGACTTTTTAGGCCGTCCATAAAGCATTTCTTTCACTTTAAGAAGTGACATACAGGGAATACAGAGTTCTCTTTCTCCCCATTCATTGGTGGCATAACTAAAATTTACCCCAGAAGTTGCAAGGTTTACATTACACATAGATGTCAATGATATTTTGCACCATATTCATGATTATTATTGGAAGTAAAATATACATATACTAAAGCAGATAAATTAAACCCCAGGGAACATTGCTTTTTATTCATGTCAAAAGGAGAACAACAGCAACAACAACAACAATAAAAAATATTTGAAGTGTTGTACTATGGAGCCAGATAACTACCCAACATATTGGCAAGCAAAGCTGAAATTTCCTGCCAACTTTTCAAGGTCTTTGAGGAGTAGATTTAGATAAGTAAGGTAGCAAGGGCAATGCCTGGCATATGGGAGAAGCACTGATAAATATTAGTTGCTAGTGACTATAAATTTCTTTCATTAATTTCAAGATGATTTGAATAATGTGTATATTTCAACAATTTTAAGATTTTATTTTTAGACAGAGGGGAAGGGAGGGACAAAGAGAGGGAGGGAAACATAGATGTGAGAGAGAAACATCAATTGGTTGTCTCTCACATACGCCCAAGCCAGGGACCAGACCCGCAACTCAGGCATGTGCCCCTGACCAGGACTCGAACCAGTGACCCTTAGCTCTGCAGAACAATGTGCAACCAAATGAGCCACATTGATCAGGGCAACAATTTTAAATTGAGCTTTTAATACACCTTAGTGCATTAAAAGCATAAAGGAAGAACATGATATATGTCTTATTTCCCATTATTGTTCAATTTGAATGGAATGTTTTCTTCTTCTCCTGGAGGGATATTCTTAACCAGCTTTTAATTTTTTGCAAGCTGGTCTTCTTACTCAAACTCCACATTGAATAACAACCCAAACCTATTTCCATCTCCCTTTTTTGAACCTGAAATTCTGATTTGCACTACAGTATTATTCATCCTTAAAAAATTGGTCATGTACTCTTGTTTGTTTTGAAGATCTGCCTGTCAACTCCATTCTCCTTTCTCAAACTCAAAGGCTTGGCATGTCCTTATGTGGTCCTGAAATTTCTAAACTCTTGATTTAACTTTATCTTCTGGTATTTATCCTCTATGTTTTTAATTTGATCAGTATAAAGATCGCCCATATCCTGTGCCAATACGGATGAATTAGTTCTTCAGCTGAGTTACTGAAATAAGGAGTTGAGAATTCTGAAGAAGTGCATACATACTCAGCAAGTTTGCATAGATCTATTAGTGATATCTGCCATGGGCATTGCTAGGAGCATAAACATTATTGCTCTAGAAATATTTAAGGCAATTATGAAACCTAGCAGAAATATTTTCTCAGACTTGCATCTATAAATAGCTTTTAACAAATTGACTATGGGTCTCAATCCAATTTATAAAAACCAGGTTTTATTGTACCTAGAAACTAAAAACTAGTATAAAGGAAGAAATGATGAATATGCTTAGTAGCACGCAATACTTATGTCTGTCCATTCTTTTAGCTGTCTATAGGAAAGCAATTACTTTTGATAGGCAGTCTACCAACCTGTAACTTAAAAGAAAATGTCCACCTAATTAATTAAATATTCAAACAGTCTCCAAGGCAATGAATATTCTTATTATCTGAAGCCACTCTTTTAAAAATTATACAGGATGATCAGACTGTTTTCTAAGACATCTTCATGGGTAACCCATCCCCAAGGAAGTCCCAAGAATGAGGGAGCATCATATTTTAGAAGACAGCATAATTAGGATTGTAAAACAAAGGACAAAAGATTTAAGAGTTCAAGGTCTCACCTGCTCTTCTGGAATTGATTTCTGAAATTAAGAATAAGGCAAACCTGGGACTCCCAGCAAAAAATGGAGACATAGGTGAATATACTTTACTTCCTCACACAACCAAAAGAAAAACAACAAATTCAAAAACAAAAAACAACCAGAACTGCCAGAAAATTGAACTATATGGAAGTCCAAC